TATGTATGTATGTATGTATGTATGTATGTATGTATGTATGTATGTATTAGTATTATTATTATTGTATTGCATGTATAAATGGCTTTTTTATCTGCTGTATCACCAGTGATGACCACTGATCTAAAAAAACACAACAGAGGGAAACAATTCATGTTCATCTAAGCTAAATATCACTGAGTGATCATTTTAAATCAGATTTCTTGATGAAGCATTGATATATTTTCGGTGCACATTGAGAAAATGTGTGTGTTTGGCTAGCAGTTTAGCGTGAAGTTGCTTGAGAGTGGAAATTAAATGACAGCCAAAAAGAAAATAGGAGGGGGTTGGATAAAGAGTCTGACCTAGTTGGGAGAAACACAGCAGCCTGAGGCCACAAGCTTCCTTGGTCCTGGCGTTATTTCAGGTCACTTCCCTTACTTTTATACTGCCCCCCCCCGCCTCCACCACCTCCCACTTTGCCTTTATATCCCTCCTCTGTTTTCCTCTGCTTCTACAGTGATCAGTATAACATATCTAACAGTTTATCAGTCGCACACTTAACACAGATGTTCCACTGTTGAACAGACACTGTGGAGACTCACTTGAAGTGCTGGTGCTCTCTGGAGGAGCGGATCTTGGAAGAATAGCGCTCTGCCAGTTTATCCAAGCCTCTGGAATACTCGAGCTGTAGCTCTGCCTTCCGGCGGAAGAACTCCTGTAGGTCCTGCAGCAGCTGCAACCGGGAATCAGACTGCTGCTCCAGACAGCGGAACTGCTCCACCAGTTGGTTACGGATCTCTGCATATGAAAAGTGGAGGCTATCATCAGAACAATCAGAGCTAAATAAGAACAATGTGCTTGCATGCTGGGATACACTTTCATCTGATCCTGTCAGCATTAAACCCATGACCTTTCAGAAGTGAATTGAACAAAACATGTACATCAAAATGTGTGGATACAGTTAAACCAAAACAGGCAGCGATAGAAGAACAAAGTCATCAACATTGAGGAAAACTACATGTCAAAATGCGTTTGTCTGGTCTGTGAATGCATTTCTGTGGGCGGTGGAAGGGAAGGACCGAGGGCGTGTCTGTACACGTGCATACAGTATGAGATGCATGTCTGATGATTGCAGCAGACAGCATGGAAAATACAAAATAGGTCAGCTTCTCAAAATATATTGTGCTGAGTGAGCCTTCAGAGGATATTGTCTTGAACAAACCAAGAAAAGATCACTGCAACGGCTAATTATACACGTAGCTTAATGACTGACATTTATACATACACAGATTATTCTCAGTCATTAAACTGAAGCGCAAGAATTTTACAGTGATCCACAGCTATGTAGCAGTAATACATTTTTTTAGGTAATAATTGGAGCTCGGTTTAAATTGTTTAAGAAGACAGAATTTGCTGTAACACTGAAATATAATTTTACTGGAGGATAATTCCAGAACTGCACAGCATAAAGCATTTTGGTTTATCTGCTTCATAGCATTTTTCTTTCATGTTATATTAATGAAAATGGTGAGGTAACATCTTTGGATAACTCACACTCATGGATGCACACAGAGGGTATTAACAGTTAGTCTCTGTCAATGACAGCATGAACCAACAGACCAACACTGAGGTGGCTTAAGAGTCCAAAAGACAGATTCTTACAACCATGGATATGATGGTTATGTTGAATAGAAGATTGTTTAAACGTATCAATGGAAAAGATGCCCTGCAGAAGAAAAGCTCTATTGTTCATTTCTAAATGCCGTGTCTGTGTGTCAAATAATGGATTCGAAAAATGCCTCCCTCGGTGTCTGTGAGGGAAAATGTGAATGAGCAAGACTGAGAGAGACAGAGGAAATATGTCGTCCTCTGATATGTGGAGATGAGGAGGTGTACCCCTCAGTCTCCACAGTTGCCCAGTTGCCTGGTTACATGCCTCTGGAGGCATTTCATTGAGAGCAGGCTGGTTCCCTGCTCCAACACTCTCAGCAGTCAGTCTGTTTGGCATAATGGCCAAGGACAAGGGCAACTTACTCTGCTCCAAAACACACAGCAAAGACTCTGGGAGGATGAGTGAAAACAGAAAAAGCTCTGAGATTTGCACCACATATGCCATAACAGATACAGGAAGAATGCAATTTGTTCACCTACATAATTTAAATAATTTGCAATCCCATATCTGTAATGTAAAAGAGCAAGTAAACAGACTTAATAAATTAACTTTAGTCAATTTATTGCATGAAGTGAGAAGAAAAAACTTCAAATGGACTCACGGTGTTTGCATTTGCTCTCTTGTGTGTGTGCTATTTTTAGATCTTAAACTGTTACTAGGGACAGAGAAATACAGCACTACATTCAATGAATGATTCAAGCCTTTGCAGAGTAATGCATAATTCCACTGAAGCCGACCAGGAGTTTAGGGGAGCTAGATAATGTGAAATCTAAGAACATTTTTATATCTAAATTAATAAAAACCTCTAATATGATGTTAAGCTCCTGTAATGTTGCTCAGCCCCACTCCATATGACTGACATATGCCCACAGTAACTAGATCATTTATTGACCGCTTTTCAGATGAATGACTAAGTTCAAATTTAGCTGGACACTGTAAACCTGTTGAAATGAATCTTTACATAACATGGCCTGTCCAGCGTGTGCCCTGCCTCTCACCCAATGACAGCTGGGATAGACTCCTTTGGGCATCTTTGGATTAGGATTACTTTAATTTCTAATCAAATTACAAATGTGTTGAATGTAATTTGACCCACAACACTTTGACTATAGTCTATATAGAATAACTCACAAAAATAAGATCAGTCCATAAAAGCAATGGAGGTGTATTTATCATACTACTGTTAAGCCATGACTTGTGTAACCATATGGAATAAAAAAGGCACATCAACCAACAAAGTTAAAAGAAAAGAGCATATTTAAGGCACCCGCCTTTCTGACAGATTGTTTAATGAGATGGGGGAAAAGTCTGTTCACTGTTTCTTCAAAACCCTGCAAGTTAAGTCTAGACTTTATGATATTTGGAGCAGTGAGCTCCAAACATCATTTAGTGAGAAGCCACTGGCTGTTGAAATAACTGGTAGCAGTGATTGAGGCTGCGTCTGTAGTTAGACATGCATGGCTAGTCATATGGGGCCTAACCTACAATGACACATTGACATAATTTGCTGTGTTCTTTAAGCACTTGTCTTCTGAAGGTAATAATGAGTGCAGTATGCCTTTGTAGGCCACAGTGCTTTATTGTTCACACTGCATGCTCTGTCTCTCCTGACATTTTTCCAAACAAAAGAAAGAACAGTTTTTATTGTGTAATGACTAGAACCAAAGGACAATTTGCGAAGTGGGCACGAATCCAAGCAGTTTTTCCTTCAAATTTCAGAACACTCGATGGTGAGCATGCCTCTGCCAGCAACGTCTCACATACATTACCAAAACAACAGCAGCAGTCAACAAAGGTATTATTTCCCTATTGTACTGAAACCCTCACATTCTAAACTCTATCATAAAGCATACTTTCTGTATGATGAATCCCCACAGAGGGTGGGTCTGCATGCTGTGCATGGAATGCATATCTGCAAAGTACATAGTGCTGAAAGAAGTGCTTAGAAAGTAAATCACATTTGTGTAATACATAAAAAATCTGCATAACATAATTCGTAGCTGTTTTAAACACAGATGTGATGCCAAACTTTTTCTACACAGCAATGTGTTATATGCTGAAATTTTGCGATTCAAATCCAAATTAGAATTATTCAACCTTCTATCATCCCAGAGAAGTCCAACTATATGCTAAAAAGTGGAATGTTTATAAAAAAAATAATGCAAAGACTGGAAGAGATACTGTGTATACAGCAACTCAGCATCATTTAGAGGCCCGTGTCAGTGTCAGAATAAAGCCCTCACACAGCCAAACCAATTTAAGGCCAGTTAGCAAATGAGCTTAAAATGTCATCTTAAAAGCTTTTCCTGAAACTGAGAAGTAAACCTATGATGGCTCTGTCTCAGCCCAGGCCCGACAATCGACCAGAGCGTGTTGACAGGTGAGAAGTCAGAGGCTCGTTTTATTTGTCAACTAGACAGGTGCGATAAGCTTAAGTCATTTAAACTTTCTTTAAATGTATCTCAATTGTTGGGTTATTGCCACCAAATTTGTGCATGAAGCTCTTAGTTTATTAGGACTAAAATAATCCAACAATGGAGGTATAATTTCTAAAAATGCAGTTTTCACCTTGGATCCTTAAATACATGTAAAACAGAGTTCAGGTGGGTCACAGAATTCAATATTTTTCATATGGGCTGCCATCCAATTGTAAACTTGACTGAAAGACACCTTGATGACAGAGCTCTATACAAAACCCCAAATGAACTTGTGACTTTGGAATTTTTAAGGACTGCAGTGACGTGGTGTGTTAAGGCAAATATGCAGAGAAGATCCTTTTATGAAACTATGTGTATACTGTTGGTATGTCATTTGAATTGTTGCTACCAGACAAACAAGCTTTATGCCATGTAAGTTAAAGCTATGGCGCAAAATAGGATAAAATGTGATTCTGTTATTCTTTTCTTTATCTCTACAAACTGTACAGAACACTAAATCTATTTCAATTTGCATTTCAAATAGATGACCTCACAAATGGTTTCATATTCAACATGTATAATACTTGAATGAATTCTTAATTCTATTCTGCTGAGAGTTGTTAGAAATAGTTTACCTAATCTGGGACATTTTCTGAAATATAACCAAGTTTGAAATAAAATACTGTTGATATAATTTCATATTCATTTGCTTTTGTTGAACCTAAAGTCAAAATTCTCAAAACATGGATAATGAAAAAACTGTTTGTACAGTTTGGCTTGCACTAAAGTCACAACTGCACAGGAAATCTACTAACTGTAGGCTAACAAACCCACAACTAGGAGCAAAAAAAGAAGTGTTAAAAGCTCAAGCAGCCTCTAAAAGGCCGAAAAGAGAGCCCACCCGTACACATCCTGCTATGTCCACTGCGGGACACCATCCATGATCCTGATTCTCTCTCTGGGTGGTTTATCCAGTCATATATTTAGTGTCAGACAGTAAAATCCTTTCATGGTTCATAATTCATACAGACAGCATGCATTATTTATCGAGTTTCTGAATTGTTGGCTGTCTGACCTTCTCTAGCAGTTTCTTCCTTCTCTTCACAGAATAACATTTAGCTCTGGAATGACTGGAAAACATCAACTACAAAATCAACCGGCTTGGCGTGACACAGATGTCACCTTTTTCATCTCCCAAAAAGTAGCTGTGATCTGTGTGTAGAAATGTTTTTTTTTCATGTGCAGTTGTAGGTCAGAAAATGCCTGGTGTGAACTGACGTACTCCCTAAATGTTGGAGCTTGCGGAAAAATCTCCCAGAGGCAGCACCTGGAGACGAATTATTCAGCTCTGCTTGCTGTCATGGCCACACATGCAAGGCTAGGCATGTTGTTCCTGAGACTGGAGCCCAAAGTCATCTGCAGCGCAGAAAAACTGGTTCGACCAAGTTGAAAAAGCTGTGTGACTGCATTCAAGTGTTAACCTCACCCTGCGTGATGCATAACAGTGGTGCAAGAGTGACTTTCATTTCTGACTAATTTAAGTAAGGAAATGCATTAACAACTCCCCCCAAAACCATGCAGTGAGTCCCACCCCACAACACTACACACTGAGAGCCACAAAAAAAAGCTCTCGCTGAAGTTATGCAACGGTATCTTCACCAAACAAAAACACGGCCAGGCCTGCGTGGTACCAACCTTTCACTTGGGTCTCATATTCGGCAATAATCTCTTTGTCCTTCTTGACTTTCGCCTGAGATGACATTTTGTGTGTGTGTGTGTGGTGGGGGGGGGGGGGTTGGATTGTGCAATCTTCTGGCAGGGGATCGGCGTATGGTAGGTGGCCACAACGGACGCGTCTGTCCGTCCGCAGGTCCTCTCCGGTCAGCTGAGCAACAATCAGATGCGGATCATCGCCAGCTCGACACAACTTGGGGCGATAGAGGCGCACTCCGGGGTTTGCGATGCTGCTGCTGCTGCGTTCAGGGCGACGTCGGTCTAGAAGTGCATTGCGATCCCCGCTCCCGACCACTCCTCCTCCTTTCCAATTCCCTGTGAATAAGAAAACAGTTCACGTCTGAGGTGCATTATCCCTCTCCGGAGGACAGTGGCTGTGGCGCCCTTGCAGCGTAACGTTGTCCAGCCTGCTCTGAGATTTGTGGGCTCGTCTCCTTTGCTCTGGAAGTTCAACGCTTGCTGCTGCAGATTTCACTCAATGGATGTGACAGTCAATATTAGACTCCACCCCCCCCCCCCCCCCCCCCCCCCGCCCCCATCCTTCCCCCGCCCCCATCCTTCCCCCGCTTTTTCATTTCATGGCTGATTTAAGATTTTTTTTTTTCCGTGTGAAGTGAAACGAAAGACTTTTGCAGCCACAGAACCCCTGTGTTGTCTACAGCTCAGAGCTGGAGGGGTGCTTTAGTAGTTTGTAGGCCTTAAGAATGGCTTTGTGTTTCAAGGAACACATCTCAAATGCTTTTGAATATCAAAAAACAGATGGACACATGCGTTTTGATAGTGTTTACATTCTCATGTCTGTCTCAGGGTCATCCCACCATGTCACTGCAGAGATGCTTCACAAATATGGGAAAACTACATTTTAGGAGGTCTCAAGTGTAGTAAGTTCAAGAGACATATCTATATATTTGAGCCTATGTGCTGGCTGATGGCCAGACATGGAACTAAATTTACATATATATACAGTATATAAATATATATATATATATATATCTTCAGAGGGGAAGTTGAGTGACTTCTATACTGACTGTTCTTTATCATATAAGGTATGCAGACCTTTGTGATTTGACCAGCTGGAATTTGCTTGGATCACTGTTGGAGAGCAGTTAAATTCCAATATGTAATAGCAGATCCCACCGTTTCCACTGTAGATCATGGTGGGATTGTTGGAGTATGTTGTCACCACAGTGCAGCCATCCCATGTGCAGTTAGGGGGAAAAGTAACTACAACTAATGGCATTTGAAATACTTGAATAAACAAGCATTTAGTTTCTTTTAAACACTACCTATGTGTTGATTATATGCACAAAAACTGATACAACTGACATTTCCACGCTTATTATATATCTTTATATGAATCAACATTTTACCCAGAACTATGTTTTAAAGAAATTTCTGCTTGCTGACAGAATCAGTAAGTAGTTTTTGCAGTTGCTCTAATGTCAGAGTCTGTGCGTGATCACCCAAATGTGATCTGCATAGAAGGAAAATTCATTACCTGAAAAAGAGAATGACAGCAAAATGTTAGTTTGCCACTACATGCATTATGGATTTTTAAGTAACTCCTCTGAACAAACTAGTCAGAGGTAGAGTTATGTGGCCACTGTGGCTGCGGACATATCATGGTGCACATCTTTCCTCTGTGCTGCACGGTGTTGAAATGATGTGGTTTGGGGTTGCTTAGCTTGCACAGAGACAAGACAGCACATCTAGCAGTCTGTAATCTCACAATACATTCTGCATCATCTCAACAAGTCTTTTAAGTCAGTAACACCATCTCTCTGAAAGTTTCTTGATATTTCAATTGCAAGTCCTGTACGTGCTCTCCTACTGAGAATGTTTTCAGGTGCAGTAGCTCTATTTTTAGGCACTTTTATAAGATAGTTTACACTTGTGTAAAGATGTCATAGCTCTAATATGTGATGTTATTGATACTGTGAATCTTAGGGGACATCAGCCCAGGAAAAAACAAACAAAAAACAAGTGCAATTCCTTGTAAAATGTGAACCAGAATGTTTGACCTAATTTAAACCCTTCTGGAATAGCACCTGTGTCACGGCTAATGTAACTGTTCACCACAGTTGTTGCCCTGAGGCATATTCCTGGAAAAAAATTGGTGATATTCACTGTGTCATACTTTTCCACTCTCTGTGTAGTTAAGTGCAGCCCAGTTTGCTAACAAGCATTGTCAGTTCTCTTCCTGCAGCCTCTCGGTAGCAACATTTTATCTTTGATCTCACAATTTCCCCCCGTGTGTTACGCCTCAGATGAATGTGACCAAATAGAGAGCCCAGGGATAAGTGAGTTAGAAGAAGATTGCATTTTCATCTATGTCAAGAGATTCCCATTCGCAGCAAATTCTCAGGAAATCTGTGCATAACTGGCTGCGTGTGATAACTGTTAAAGCAGTGAGAGAGTCCAGGAGAAATCTGCTGGAGAAACCCCCCCAGGGTCCCACCATGTAGTCTCCAGTCCAACTTCTCATTTCCTGAGTGAATGTTGTACAGAAACTGCTGGCCTCAGAGTACACCTGATAAAAGCTGGGATGGCCGTGAAAATAATGTGAAAAATCTGTCTCTAACTAGGCCACAGAAACTTTGACATCGTCCACTTACTTCAGTAGAGAAATTACCCTCACGTGGTCTGGGAGGAAATGACTTAGCAACAATGATCTCTCTATGTTTAAATGTAAAATCTACAATGCCTTTGCAATGTGGTTTTATTATCATTATACCAGGCAACGCTGTGTGGCATAATTTTCTTTCTTTTTTTTTAAGAAAGCAATTGCGTGCAGAAGACATAAAAGATGTGAGCTTAGAATTAAGAGTTTTGATAAGTGTTCCATCATAAATACAAAACAACTAAAATTTGGGTCTTCACCTTAATGGTAAGATCAAAGGGGACTATTTTTTATTAAACATTTTGTATTAGGTCATAAACATATTAACAATGTTTTGCCTGAAAACCGGGTGCCATTTAATTTATCATTGTTTTCATACATAATTCGACAATAGGACAACTCTAGGCCTCAGTCAAATGGAAGTTTGTCCTTTCAAGGGGATCAGAGTTGTCTACTACTTTAAAGAATCAAAGTCTGGCATAAAAATATTTACTCAACATAGAAAAATAGTGCATGAAGAAAAAATTAGCTTCAATATAAACTCTGCTGGAAAAATTAAGATATCAGTTCAAAATATTGTAAATGTAAGAAAAGTGCCTAAGGATGATTGGCGAACACCGTCTCAGATTCTCTGGCTGTGGCCATAAACTTTATATCTTCCTTGTGTTGTCAAAACACATACTGTAAACTGTAGAATTTTTTGATGGATGGAAATAAGTCATGGTTTCCTCACCAGTATTTGCATAGAAACCCATGCACATACATCCAAGAACATAGGAATATACACAAAATGAGTTTAAACATAAAAAGCATGAACTACACAATAAACATCTGCAAATGAGAAAGCCATTTGGAGATATTTATCTAAAAATCACGATGCTTTATATCGGGGCAAAGTAATTATTTTTCACACTCTACAAAAACTCCCATTTACATTACATTTTCTCAGCACATCTTTATAAATGCAAAGTATCTCCCCCTTAGATGTGAAGGTGAGTTTTGAATGTTGCCTTTTCTTTTTCAGGGAGAAAAGGGGGACTTTAACAGGGACGAAAGCATGGACTGTCTCTGCACGGACTGTCAGACGATGTGGAGATAGTGGTTGTCGTCGTGAATAAGTTTATATAAGTTTATTTAAATTAAAAAAAAAGAAAAAGAAAAGGTCTACCGTTGTTTCCATAGTTACGAACGGTGTACAACGAGACGATTCATGCTTTCAAGGCAGTGTTCATTTTGGCCGTAGGAACCAAAGTTTTTCTTTGTAGCTAGTACGGACTTTTTGGGGAAAGCACGCGAGAGGAGCGGCAGCGAATGTGCAAAATGACAGTTATCAAAGACTCTAGGGTTTTATTAGACTTTTTCCTATGTTTTTTTGTATACGGAAGCCTCTTAAGTGTAACGAAATTATGTCAACATTTTTTGTAGCTCTTAGTTAATAGAGATTAGAGATTATCTTCAAAATAACTGTTGATAAACAATTCCCCGAGAGACAAAACCACTACCGACTACACTGCCATTTGAGTTTGTGTGTGTATGGGTTGATTAGTTGTATAATTTAGATTTACATCACAAAAAGATGTAGTGATAAATTCGCTTTAATTCAGTTTTAAGAACATGACTACCCTCTGCTGGTGGAGGGCAAAGCAGCCAAATAACCACAGCTTTTTGGTCCCTGTGATTTTGTTAAGCAGGTTCCTGTTTGTTCTTACTATTTTATAAATTGGTCATTATTTTGTACAAATGCAACACACCTTAATTGAGTCATAGTTTAAGGCACAACTCCTGTCTGGTCAAGCATCATCAGTTTCTGTTGGGTGGATTTTGACTTGCGTACACACTTGACTAGTTGCTGTCACGAGGTTTTACATGAGCAAACTCTGTGAGCTTGATAGTGTGACTTCAGTGGAAAATTTGACTGATGATATCATCTCTTGCAAAACGAAAGAACATTTAGTTGAACATGATGATGTCACAGCTATGAAATGTTGTGGTATTTGACATTGCTATGTATTTCATGAGGTATAAAGAATGGACAAGGAGTGCTTGTAAATATTTTACAAAGGTGTAACTTGATGGGAATTAACCTCTGAACTGTATAAGTTTCAGTATGTAAGACTTTATAGAGATTTAGTGATTTTTAGTATGTTTGATACTATTTACCAAAGTGTATTGTGTAACACTTTGTGTTACCAGACACACCTTTCCACGCCCCCTTAACAATGGGTTGACACAACTAAGTCTGGCTTAAAGCTAGTTGCCAGCAGCCATGAAGTAAATTATCTACAGGGCAGCTAAAGTGTCACACTCGACAGGAATATGCTTTGGACAATATTTTTATTTTTCAATGGACTCTTTATCATAACTTATCTTTACTCCTCTCGTAAAAGGTAAAGCTTTTGTGCATATTTGCAGCATTTCTTTCTGTAAATGTTAGGTCAGCATGTTAGTTTAAGTTGTTTTGTTTATTTTAAGCAGAATCTCATTTAAATAATTAATTTTCAGAACAAATTAGGTTTACCTAGGCATACAATTTTATTTATATGAGAAATACAGCACTTTTGAATAAACACCGATCTCAGGTTATAGTTTTGGTTTGAAGCTACAAGACACTTGAGTTTGAAATTCATTTCCATATCCTGCATGTCTTTTTAAACACGGAACAGAAAAGGCTTTTTACGAGATTTCACGTTAACTCCAAACCTGTTTGGTGGGATTTATGAACGTGTTAAAGGTAAGTATGCAAACTCTCACATTGCTGTTATCTTAATGAGTTTCGTTGAACTCACAGACGAAAAAATGAGCCCCCTCTTGACAAAGGATTCCTCCCATGGTTGGGACACGCTTTTGAGTTTGGAAAAGACGCCTCAAAGTTTTTGGCCCGTATGAAAGAAAAACATGGCGATATCTTTACAGTAAGTTGTGCTAATGACCTCATGCACTTGAGTCTTAGAGTGACAGTAAATGTGTTGGACGTTTTTTTAGGAACAAAGAGATGTGAAATATCTCTTTTCAGATCTAAAATGGGTAGTGGCTACAAATAATTTAGTCACACTTGAGATTTTTATTCAGAGGTCGGCACTTCAATGTATTATTTATCCATTTGTAATCAAGGCCTCATAGAGATATAAAAAAATCTACTTTGATCAGAATTGTTGAATATAAGAATATTTGAACAGCTATAATAATTTCCCTGCAGGTTTGTGTTGCTGGTCACTACATAACCGTGCTGTTGGACCCAAACTCCTTCGACAGCGTGCTGAGTGACACAGTCCGCCTGGACTTTACCCCCATCAGAGAAAAGCTCATCCAAAGGATCTTCAATGTACAGCTGCCAACCGTCAAGCCTCTATCAGAGAGAAAATGGATGGAACGGTAATGAGTTCACCTTCAAAGAAAGCTTTACATTAGTGACGCACATCTCACTATTGTGTCTTAAATTCTCAGGCATTTTCAAGGTGTCAGTCTCAGGAAGCTCAGCAGCTCAATGAATGCCCACCTTCGCAGCCTGCTTTTGAATGACCACAAAGGACGAAGTCCTTCAGAGTGGGCACAGGACGGCCTCTTTAGCCTCTGCTATAGTCTTCTTTTCAGGTAAGACACATCATGCAGTTGCACTGTCATTGCTGTTATTGGTTCATTATTTTGTGCTATTGACATTTTTAGAAGTTATGTTTTTTTAAATAGGTAATTATTGTTCACAGGGCTGGCTATCTAACTTTGTTTGAGAGGACAGAAAATGCGCCGACAGTCTACCACGAGTTTAGAAAATTTGATGAACTTCTTACCAAATTGGCTCGCGGTATCCTAAAGCGAGGTAAACAGCCCTGCCTTAAACAGAAGTAAGAATGTTTGCAGCGCATAAACATCAGGATGTGATTTGTGTATTTCTATGTTGTTTTGATGACAGAGGAGAGGAAGATTGCCTACACATCCCGGGAACAGCTTTGGGAGCTGCTGTCGCCAAACTTGCTGAACGGAAATTCTACTTCCTGGCAGCATAGCTACCATCACTTTCTGCAGGAGGAGGGAATAGATGCAGACATGCAGAACAAAGCTCTACTTTTACAGCTTTGGACCACACAGGTGGGAGCATTTTGTCCATCAATTGTCTATCTATCTGCACACAAATCATAAACACACAGCTTGCCAGGACACTGAAACATAGAAACACCTCATCTGTATGTCTCAGTTCCATCTGTGCCTGGCAACAGAGCCCAAATGAGAGGCAGTGAATTCCTCAAAGCCAAGTTACTCAGAGCAACCTGTCTCAACCTGCAACGCAGACTGGGTTTCTGTGAGTTTTTCTGTGTGAATCAGTCTCCACATCTCAAGTATGGAATGATAATAATAACTGTAAACATTGCAACGAAGAATTGTGTAAGTCCGCCAAAGTCGCTTCCTCTTTTACATGCTTCATGCAGTAGTCATACCCAGGAATTATGCTCCCACTCATATTCCCTTTTCCTCAACATGGTGTTTCATCTATGTTCCTCTTGTTTGCATGTTGTTTGAATATGAAAAAAAATTGTTCTTTATATATCATGGAATTTGCATTTGCTCACTGCAAAACTACAACTCAGCTCAATCGGTAACACTAGCTTTGCCAATGGAGCCTTACTAGAATGTTGTTTACTTAGTTTTACATGTCTAGAGTGGGAAAGATTTCCAGTATCAGCAATGTTTACCCAAGTATAAGTAGAGAATTGTTACTCTCTAGTTGAGACAAGTCCAGAGCAGCAGTGTCATTACTCTGAGCTGCAAGGTGGGGGAGAAAGCGAGCTGTGTATAAACTACGTCTGCCGTTCATCTGCGCAACATTGTATTCTGCGACAGATTCTGCCCTGTTTTACCCTGTCTGTGTCACTGCAACAGTGATTGTTCACTGTGCATATCTGGGGAGACACCGCCAGTTTCCAAGTATGTTTGAGCATTATCACGTCTATTGGAGTACTGGACCACACTGGCAGTCTTGGATGAAAACTGGGGCACTGCTGCATTCAAAAGAGGCATTCGAATTGAGAATAGTGAGAAGTACCAGTGGGAACGTGGCTTATACATGCGCTACAGCCAGACGGATGCATTTCTGGGTAAAATGTAATGCGGCAATTTCTCTAAAGCCACCTACATCATTACAAGTCCTGCACAAACTCGAGGTTGTGGCGAGTTTGTCCATTTGCCAAAACAATCAATGTTATTGACTGCAACATACTTTACATGGGCTGAGATTTATTCATTACTTATGTTCACTGCTGCTTTGTCTGTGATTTATTGTCTTGTGAGGGAGTACCTGCCTCGACTACACACAAATGCACACACACTCACACATATTTTGATTTAATCTTAAAATATATAGTCACTGTTCGATCACCTTAGCTTTTAGACTGAATGGGAGAAAATACTAAATGAGCCGAAAATGGAGCCTATCCAAGCTGTCATTTGGAAAGAGGCGAGGTACACCCTAGACCTGTCAGCAATTCATCACAGGGCCACACAAAGATGAACAGCCACACACACACACTCACATTTGCTCCTAGCCAGAGTTCTTTTAGAGAGAACACAGGCAAGCATGCGGAGAACATGCAAACTCCACACAGAAGGGACCCTGAACCCCAGGGATTGGAATCGGAAGCCCTAGTCCTGTGTGGCGATAGCACTAACCACACATCACCACCCCAAAGCTAATCTCTAATAATCCTCAGCCTGCAGCTGGGGAATACACAGGACTTATATCATTATTGAAGGTATCAAGTCTAGGGATCTGAAGACCTTCAGAGGGCAGAGAGACAATGTGATGTAATTCTAGTCGCTTGTGGGCTTTTGCCCTGCTTGTCTGTGGAGAACTGACCTGAGATGTGCACGGGTATGGAGAACAGCTCCCTTAGCCCTCTTGACAATTACTGTTTGACCTGCTCAGGTGTTTCCCCGATGAAGCTAACAATTTGTGGCATGATTTAGTGGCTTCTCGTCATGTCAGTCATGTCCACACAGCAGCACAACAAAGAAAACAAAGGATGTTTTAAATGAGGAATCTTCTGGTAAACAATGAAGAATATCTTCACTCTATGTAAAACTCGTTTGCAGTTTCACTAAATGAATGCTTAATCCGGGCAAATTTTCAAACTGAAGTCTTATGTAAGGTTTTTATGTGTGTGTGTGTTGTGTTTTATGTCTGTCCCTGTCAGTGCAATGCTGGACCTGCTGCCTTTTGGGTCCTTGGCTTCCTGCTCACTCACCCCGAGGCGATGGAGGCTGTTCAGTCAGAGATCAGAGTTCTCTCCACTCTCCAGGATACTTCCCTGCAGTGGCCCTCAATGAACCTGCTGGAAGCAAGCAGCACACCTGTGTTTGGTACAATACAGCTGCTTGCAGCTTCTTTGTGCTTCGTTTGTGGCCTTTGGAAAAGAATTGCCTTATTGAGACCGAAACAAAGGCTCATTTGACTTACTGCAGAAAAAAGCCAGAAGCAATAACAGTACCAACTGAAGTTTGACCTTTGGATCAATTAAACCAAGAAAGCTATTCTCATATCATCATATTTGTGCCAATTTATGTTTCTCTCAATTTATGCTGCTGATTCAACCAGTAATGACAACCCCTCTGACATCATCCACTTTGCTTTCCTTTCCATCCTTCAGACAGCGTTTTGAATGAGACCCTACGCCTCACTGCTGCTGTCATGATCAATAGGGAAGTGGTGCAAGACAAGATCCTCAGCACAGCTGATGGACAAGAGTACCTCCTCAGACGTGGGGACAGAGTGTGTCTGTTTCCCTTCCTGAGTCCTCAAATGGACCCACAGATACACCATACCCCACAGGTACTTCATGTTCAAAGTGTGCCAGTACAGAGCTAGATGTGTACATAACGTTTTGTGGGACCAAGTATGCCCGCCTAGTTATAGCAGATCTTACCATATTTTAAAGCAATGTTATATCAAACAAGGTTCAGGACCCAGAACTGTAAATTATTGGTAAATCTGCCTGAACATGCATGAGAGTTACTGATAAATGCCCAGAAATTGAGGCGCAAGATGGACTCATCAGAATAATGACATAGAGCAGGGGGCATGCTATCAAACTTTTCAGTGTGATTTGTGTCATGCATCATGTTTTCTCCTACAGATTTTCAAATATGACCGCTTTCTAAATGAAGACAAAACAGTGAAGGATACTTTCTACAAAGGTGGAAAAAGACTGAAGTATTACACCATGCCATGGGGTGCAGGAAGGAACAGCTGTGTGGGGAAAGAGTTTGCTGTGACCACTCTTAAACAGTAAGTTTACAAGAAACCATCCTTTCCTTTTGGTCATATCTCTCCAACAGGCAGTCTAAAGTTCACAAGTGGTGCATTAGCTATCACAATTGAATCCATTAGTGGGTACGGTCAGTAAAAATGCTTTTTTATCTAATGTTTTTCCTCTCATGATCTCAGCTTGGATGCTGTTTGTCTTCTTTAGCAGCAAGCTGTAACATATTAATTGTGAATGCTTAGTACTCAGTGTTCTATCAAATGTTTGCCAGCAGACCAGCAGATTTTCTATATAAGGCTGGGATGAAATTCAATTAATGTAATAAAAAATTCACAGAAAGGAAATGCAAGTTACATTGATGATGTACAGACTTTAGAAATTGTTTTACTGTTTTAAGTAGAGTTTTTTATGTAGATGATGGATGGTTATACTGTATCTGTATCATCTGATTATTTATGTTGGGTTGTCTGTTGCTTATGTACACTGTTTTTACTCTTATAGATTTGTGTTCTTTTTCTTGACCCATTTTGATCTGGAACTGTGCAACCCCGAAGCTAAACTTCCGCCGGCTAATCCCAGTCGCTACGGCTTCGGGATGCTTCAGCCAAATGAAGATTTGATGGTCAGGTTCAGACTGAAGAGGACATACCATGAAATGTGAAATGTTGAAACATTATTCAATGTGTTGTTTGACTAGTTATTTTGTGAAATGTAGTGTAGAGCTATTTATTCTATTTTAACTTTAATTTGTTTTCGTAAGAAAAAAAACATATTCAAGCGTGTGTTCTGTGTGTTTTTTTAAAAGCAAAAATAAAAACAAAGTCAAATTTGTGTTTGGAATTGTTTGGTACAGAGTCATCTCCACAAAGAGAAAAAATATATACAACTATATACATTTTTATATATTTACTTATTGATTCATTCTTTACTCATTGCTTTTTCAGGAAATGTATTTTCACATTAAATGTTCATGTGTCCATTGGATCATCTTTTGTAATTTAAACTAATTAAACTCTTCTGGAAACGCATTATCGTCCCACTTGTATTTTGTGTGACATCTTTTGGGTCCTTTCAACACAATATGTTACCATGTATTCTTAAGATAAAAACCCATGTTTCAATCAGATCTCATATTTTGAGTTCTTTTTCTCTCCAAACCTTACTGGTGGCTTAAGTCCACAAACTGAATTGTCTGTGGAGGTCCAACCATACAAATTGTGCATATTTTTACCAAGAAGGCTGGATTTTTTTTTACATCAGATTTTACGTCTTGCACATGTTTCTATGTGCATTTTTATGCTCTTGTTTAGCTCCAGAGCCGTCTATCCTCCGACACTGTGCCTCCATAGTCAGTGAGGAAGGAGTTAAACAGATGTGGAGGGGTGCGCGGGGCTGTGAGGGATCCACCTTCCCTGAGATGCGGCGCCTGCTCACACAGCTGACCGGGAACACAGGTAGTCTGTCCGAGTGAGCTGTCGGCGGACTTGTTGATCTTCAGGGGGAGCAGTGTTCCGAGACATGCGGAGCAGCGAGCCGCTGGGAAGGCTGTAGATCGAGCTGAAGATCTTCCTGCCATGTCGGAGGCAGAGGACGGGGAAATGGGTTAAACCCTGGCTATAGTAAACCAATATCGACGCCTCCTGTTTTCAAAGGCTTCATCTTCGCTTATGGCAGCGGATTGATTGTTCACAGAGCGGTACGAGCTGGTTTGATTCAGTGCAGGATGACAGCAACACACCACGGTATTTTTTTTAGCTTACTTCCACCTCTATATTTTCAATCATTTGCATCCTGTCAGTTGAATAGCTTATTATTGTTGGAGCATTCTGCATCTAAGCTGCACCAATATGGAGCGTTCATCTTCAAAAAAATTACGAAATATGCCCAACGACTGAGGTTTCACTAAATACTTTTGGATTGTTAATGTTTCCATCCTCCCTGTAGCTCTCACAAAACAGTCATTTGTGCAAATGAAGGAGCCATGTTTGTCTGTTGGTGAACTATTTTGTCAAAGCCTTGGATATTATTTTGTGTTTTGGGGTTTTCCTGCAGTCTTTGGCAGCAAGTTGTGAGTGTGACAGAGCAGCTTCTACATCCAGCCCAGTTTCAGTCTTTATCTTCAATGACTATTTCTGTGTTTTTGTATTTTCTGTGTTTTCAGGCCAAATTGTGTATGTGAACTATTAGAAACTTTATCATCAAATCTGTTGGCCTGATTTGTTGTTGGGTCCTTTCTCTCACACCAATTAGTGCATGCTGGACAGTGTTTATGTTATAGAGCAGCTGATGCCACATCTGCTTCACAGAAAATGTTGGACTGTCATTAAAAGAACAGTTCTTGTCAATCAGTTATGATTCCCAATTTGGGGGGGGGGGGGGGGGGGGGGCATCAGGGATTCAGAGAGGAAACAACACTAGTATTTCAGCACCACTGGACTGGACAGCGCTTCACTTTTCTCCACACGCCTCTCAGTTGCTTCCTGCGTCCCACCCACAGAACTGCATGGGCGTCTAATGGGAAAAAGAAAAATGCAACATTGAATAAATTATAATCATTTGCACGCACCAGCAGCATGCATCAGTAGGACATGCCAGTATCATAGTTTTGAGCATTGAGATTGTCCCCGTAGATTAAACATGTCATTTTGAGAGATCTTCTGGTTTTAGTTCCACAAGCTGTGGATTATTTGCCTGCCTTCCCAAACAATGTCTATAGGCCTCATAACTTAGCCTAAAACAAGCTTCTGAAGGCTAGTTTTGCATGAGTCATCAAGAACTCAGTCTGAGGATGCACACTGTATGCAGCTCATACATCAGATAAAGTGGAAAAGAATTCCATGATTAATGGATATCATAACATTATAAAAACCTAAAATAATAATAGTAATAAAAAAATTGATATTTTAAAAATTTTCTTCTGTTGAGGTCATCCAACCACTGCTTTATTTTGCTGTAATTCAGACCTTGAAGCTCTGGTCTTGGTGCCAGTCTGAGTAGGGGTTTGGGAATTATTTTATTACTATTTCCCTCAGTGACTGTATTAGATGAAAGCAATACAAAATAAGACAGGCCTCTGTTTCTTGCATCGATAATACATGTGAGTCATTTCAATAACCCCATCTGTTCACAAAGGTTTTGTAGTTGATTCAGGGTAGAAAAAAGAAAAGATTCACATTAATCCTGGAACACAGGGAGTATTGAATTTGACCGGGACCACTCTGAAGAGGCTATATTCGCATTTGGTCTTCAGTATGCTGCAAAAACTTTGCTTAGTTTATTGCATTTGTTTATTTGGGAAGAACGTAGAATAAGAATTTACCTAAAGTATCGCTTGAAAAAAAATGTTTTGCTTCTCAATCCCTCGTTAATATAAACCATAGGCAAAAGTGATAGAAGTCACAAAATAGATTCATCATCAAATATATGAAAACAAAATAGAAATTTCATAAAGGATTTTTTTTACAAATGTTTAAATGGGTGGAAATGGGCTTAATGGTCCTAAATAGAACCTACTGGAAATAGTTTGGTTGATAAACAACTGTCCAGAACCCATGTTTGGGAATAAAAATGAACACCTCTGACAGGTTAAGTCTCCAAGATACAAAAATTGGAAGCTGCTCAACAATCTGCAAGTCAACAAAATATGAAGCAGATTTATGATCATTTTCTTAAACTGGAAATTGTAAAAACTACAAATATTTTTCTATAGTACATATTAACGTGGAAAGATCCAAAGAAACTGAAGACATCTATGTGCACATGGGACAAAGATGAAAATCAATATTGGTTGCCCACGATCTTCGGGCCCTCAGGCAACACAGCAATGAAAAACAGATGGAAATCACAAGATGGGTTCAGAAACATTTCCAATGGCTCAAACTAGTTTAGAGTCTTGTTGTTTTCTCGAATCTTACACTGGTGGCAAATCTTTGATCACTAATGCTTTATTTGTTTATGTTTGTGATTACTCTAGATGCCATAATGAAGGAAATGAAGATTACCTGCAATCCATAGGCCTGGATGTTTGTTTTCCCAACTCAAAGTCATGATGGAAAAATCCTTGGAGTTAAATAAAGCTGGCTCTCAGTCAATAACATCTCTGCCACCTGAGCCAGTGGACATAATTCGCAGCAAATCCTGCTACCGCAGAGTCAGGCTGAATGTTGGGGGTCTCCCACATGAGGTCTTGTGGCGAACGTTGGACAGGCTACCTCGAACACGTTTGGGAAAGCTGAGAGATTGCAACTCTCACGAGTCTTTGATGGAAGTGTGCGATGACTACAATCTTGAGGAGAACGAGTACTTTTTTGATCGACATCCAGGGGCGTTCACATCCATCCTGAACTTTTATCGTACAGGCAAACTGCATATGATGGAGGAAATGTGTGCCCTGTCATTTAGTCAAGAACTTGACTACTGGGGCATTGACGAGATATATCTGGAGTCATGTTGCCAGGCAAGATACCACCAGAAAAAGGAGCAAATGAACGAGGAGCTCAAGCGGGAGGCCGACAATTTAAAAGACAGGGAGGGAGAAGAGTTTGACAACACTTGTTGTGCAGAAAAACGAAAGAAACTTTGGGATCTCCTAGAAAAGCCAAGCTCATCTGTTGCAGCAAAGGTAAATGCCGTACAATGTTGGGTCTGGGCTGAGATTGTCATTAGCTGAAGCAGCCTTTTCAGCTTGAGGCTGACAAGGGCTTTACATGTAGGTTGACAAAATTATAAAAGTGAACTCACAACAAGCATTTGTATACATTCATTAATTGATTCATTTGTATTCATTCAATCATTTTGCCAACTTAGATTTTGGGTGGTCTCAGGTTGAATGGGTTGCCACAGTTTCAGTTTTGGCCAACATCAATCTGGCCCTTTTGCTTGTTTTTTTTGGAGCAGTTGGCAGAGGAAAGTTAGAAATAAGTAAACCTTTTAAGTCACCATGCAGACACCAGCCTCTAATGTTACGTGGCTGATCGTGATCTGATCTTGTTGCCACATCTTGTTGCCACTAAAAATATCAGACTTGCCTAACGCTGACAATGTGTGCATCCTACATTATTATGGAACCTCTAAACAAGAGTTTTATTTTAATTTTATTTTATTCTTGATATATTCTATCCATCTTCTATTTTCCATTTTCCATGTTCATCTGCATTTACATGCAGTTTGGGGATTGATATGGAGCCAAAAAATGAAATGGATCCCAGGATGTCTATTGCATGGCTCTATAAATATGTTTTAAATAATCTTATGATGGTATTAAAATAATTATCCCCTGAATTGTAGGCTCTATGCCTGTTGAGATGAGCTGCAAAATAGTTAAAAGCTTTAGTGGCTGGACAGGCATCAACACTATCTGCTATCTGTTCACTGAAACATAAACTTGATGAACTCTTCTGCTATTTTTTCTGCATATTGCACTTTGTTGTCCTGCACTGAACATGAGGCATAGACTGAAAGGGTTTGATTTTAAGTTTTGTCTTCTCTCTTAGGAGGAAAATTAGATTAACTAAGTATTCCATCTGCCCACGCCTGCATGCTAGGTCATAGATATTGGGATCAGGTCAAAAAGAGATATGTGCACTATTGTTGTTATTCTGACTCAGTTATATTCAGCTAAATTCTGAGCCTACCCTCAGCCAACTTGTTCTGAGTGTATATCAGCAAAAGGTATTGCAAAGTGAATAGAAAACACAGACTTACAGACACAGCAGACGTTCAGTACATATCTAAGTGTCTTTGAAGAAACTAAATATAAAGCCTTATTTTGTTCAAAGAAACAAAAAAAGGAGCCAGGAGAATGAACCATTTGTGCACATAAACATTATACAGTATTTAAAGCTGAAATTGATTGTATAAATCAAGAAGCAGTTTTAATAAAGAAAACAATTTTTTTCATTACCACACGGCAAGGCTACCAAGGAAAGGTTAGTCGATAGTTTGAACAAAATGATGTGGTCTGAACTCTCATTTAGAGAGTTTAACCAACTAATTTATGGACAGTATGAAACTAGAAGTTATGTGGTTGTGTGGCAATATAATGCTCTAGTTGGTTGCATAAGCTCGCACCCTGGAATTTTGTGATGTGTTCAGTAATTAGATGCCTTGCCCTAGTGCACATTATGTTCTTCTCTGAAAGCTACATCTGGTGACTCCAGTCATCAGTGCTCACCCTTCCTCAAAAGAGCCATTTTTCCATCTGCAGGCTTTTTACAGGCAAAATCTGCAATAGCAACGTTGGTGACCACAGCAGTGTTAAGCATGAGAAACCTTTGATCAAACTCTTCAAGGGTGGATAATTATGAAGGATCAAAGAGGACAGGCATTATTTCTAACACTGCCTTATTTTAGCTTGGACAAGCATTGTATGGGGAGTGGAAATTAAACGGTTTGCTAATTCTGCTGGCTGATGCTTTACAGTGAGAATTTGTGAGATCTGTCATCTCTAACCCACAAACAGACTGAGGGGAGTGCTGCGAGTCTGTCAGTGAAATGTCTTCTTCAGTGGAATCAAAGAGATGCAGAATCAATGTTTATTATATTAGAGCGAAGGAAGTGCTGTAGCATACAAAAAACAATTTCACTTTGAGTCAGCTGTATGCTGCCATATCTAATGTCCCACACCGACTTCTGCAGTTTACCCAAATATCAATGGAAAATAAGTCTGAGGTGTGAAACAAAATCTGCACTCATCATTACTTTGAACAATCACACAGCAGATTGCTATCCCAGAATATTTCCGGCGAATCTATGCCTCCTGTCATCTATGAGAAGCCTATTTCCAGTGTTCACATTCTGCACCGTCTCTTTAGTACCAGCTTTAGTGGAGGACAGCCTGCCATAAAAACAGAGCAACCCTCTCCCAGCAAGGAGTAGAGTTTATCAATTCCTAATTATCTTAAAAGAGCAAGATGAAACCACAGAGCAAGCCACTAAAAGCGTTGATAGTGGTTGATGTATTGTCTTAGGTATTTTTGAATATGCTACTGTGGGCTTTGTTGAGCGGTCCAGCTTCAACCACAGACTCTGTGTAAGCTCATCACTTATCCTGGTTCAGATGGAAATGTAACAGCCTGTAAACAGGTGGTGAATTTTAGAGATGAGCACCAAACAAATGGTCGCTAAGCAACCAGGGTACAATTTTCTCATGAGCTAAGAAGTGGATATTGAGCATTAGTCTATTTATGTTTCCATTCATGTGTGTGTGTTATTGCACTGCACTGCTTATACTTTAGTGTGTGAGCAAAGCTAACTTAAGAAGGGGAGTGGAAGCGGCATTACTTGTCAAGATGTTCTGCTCATATTCTCTCTGCCCTATCTTCCCTCTCCCCTTCTGGCTCATATCTTTCCCTTTCCTACCATTTCCAGGCTCCTCTGCTATACCTCGGACTAAATGTCAGGGAGAATGTCACATTAATTATTCTCCAGGAGACTCTGGGCCCCATTTGAAGCTCCCCTCTCAGTGTTTACATTCTCTGTGTGCTGCTTTGTCTGTCTCCTGCTCAAATCAGATTTGAGTCACCATAAAATAAGATTGCGTCTGATCAGTAAAACAGTGCTCAAGATAGTGCAAGGAGATGGCTTTTCCAATATATCATGTCACCTTGGACTAGCAAACTTTTCGTTCGTAGTAATTCCATGAAATGTTATTTGTCACCATATTCAAAATGTAAGTAAACAAGCTGGTAGCATTTCACTGATTAACAAATATTGAATTAAATTTATATCAATATTGATGTGTAACATTCAATGAGAACTTTATTGACCAATATTTTTTTATCGAATTAAAGTATAATTCAAATGTCCCTCAAAGGACATAACCCGTATATATTAACTAATCAAATTTTAAATATTTGAGATAAGATTGTGGCTGTGGAAAAATAGAGTGTGGCTTCTTGGATCCTGTTGACTGAAGTAAACAAATGCTGCTGTCATTATTTTCCTCCTTGCATCAAAATGGGGAGAATTACCATTTCTTTTTTCTGTCAGTGGCTATGGTGCATCAGATGGCAGGCAACAAATTCCAATTATGCTCCTTTCGTGTCACACTTAAGGTGACGTATAAATGTGGCTTGGCTTTCTCCCCACTCATAAATCAGTCTGCAGCGGGATCAGGTGGAAATTCATCACTGTTTCAAACAGCTAGGAAGTCACAGCTGGTCAGATGATGTATAGGGAGTTACAAAACACTAGACAACAACGTAGAACTGAAATTCAGGGGCTGGGTCATTGGAAGGTTGTGGATAATTTTCCTTTTAAATTGGTGATGTGAAATTTAATCAAAGAAAGCGGAATAATTTTAGTCTTTATATTTGTTTAAGAAAGTGCTTGTTCACAATACTAACCAGAAGTAGTTAAAAGAGAATGCTTACATTTCTGCACAATGTTGAAATAAAATCTTATGGGAGCATTTAAGCACTTTGACTGTCTTTTTTATAATTTATTATGCTTTGGTGAAAACTTCAACTTTTATGAAATGCAGTAAAGGAAAGGAGTCGGTCTCCCTTAATGAATATTTAAAGTGAGGAGTTTTAACATTTGAAATTGGGATATACTATTAATACTCCATTAGAAGTACCTTTTTTCCCCCGAAAGAATTAAAAGTTTTCCAGAGATCATGAATGTCTAGTGAGCGGAGTCACCCTCTTTACCGCAATTAAAAGACAGCCAACTGTTAAATAGTGCTTACACATAAATTTATGTAAAGCAAATCCAAATCAAATGCATGCAAGAGTAAGAAAAGATAAATTCACAATTAATTGTTTCTTCATTCATAATAGCTGCAGGAGAACTGGTGAATATCTAAACTGCCTTGCTGAAATGGCTGCTCCATTCAATGGAGACAGTGCGGTGGAGTTTGCTTTGAAGTTGCTGCTGTTTGAAAGTGAACATAATTACTTAAGCATCGATGAAGTAGTAGAAGCAAAATGTTGTGCCTTTGCTGGCCTCAAGGATTTGTCTACATTTTGAACTTCGCACAACACAAGAAAGGTGAATCATTTAAAATTATTCTGTAACTCCTGCAGGCAGCTGTTCATTGACCAAATAATAGTAGAGGCACATATTGCTTTTGATGAACGATTCAATCAAATTATTCTTTTATTCTTTTTATGGTTCTTTAATGGTTCTTGAGCAAACACAAGTTACTTTTGTATTTAAACCTTCCATTGCCCAGTTTTTGAATAGCTGGCAGAAACAGTTGGAACGGTTGAAATGGATTTCATGATGATTTTAAATGCAGAAAAATAATTTTCTTTCACCCCAACTAAAATTGTGGTCCAAATATTTTTCTAGACTTGTGTCACAAATGATGGAACCATAGATGATATTCGGCTCACAACAGGGAACCTTTTCGTCAAAAAACAAACAAAAACTTATTTCTAGCCTTGCTTGAATTTCCATGTGAAATTTGCTGGGCTAGTTGCTGGATATCTTTAAGTACCAGCAGTTTTAAGTACCAAAATGTTTAACATTGAAACAAATTAATCTAACATTGACTTATTATAACCTAATCTCTTTCTGATTAAGTAGTTTTCAAAATGACATCCAAAGCTTGAAATTATTTAGCATGTTCCAATAAAACACTTTGAGCCGAGAGGGAAAGGGTGCTTAGAGAGGGAGAGCTACTGAAAATTCGAATAAGTCCAAAAATGTAATGTAAAATGAGTTTAAAACAAATAGGAAAACACTGAGGTACCTATCAGGACATACATAGTGCAATTTATGTGCACACACAGATAGACACAATACATGCAATCATCCATCCATCTGCAGATGCAGGCTAAATTCCTTTGCATTATTAAACATCTTGCAAGAGACCTGGCCCAGAGTTCCATGACCCAGCTAAAAAACACATTGATCTTCCCAAACCTGAAGTTTGACTATCTGCCAGACTCTTCTCTCCAAGATGGAATACTTTCCCAGAAGGCACCATCTGTTTCTGGAGGGGAGGAGCAGAGATGTTTACTAAAGTCCTGCCGAAATAATCATGGGAGAGACTGTGGATAGTAATGGATGCTAATATTGGTGTTTATTTTCTATTGCACTCCACCTCTCACTAAAGCTGGGATAGGCTCCAGACTTCCCCACAAACGTAAATAGGAACCCATGGGTATAAAAAAATTAATGGTTGTTTTTTCTGCTGCCGCCCTCTTAGTTACTGTGACAGAAAGAGATGTGAACTTAAAATTTTATGCAATTTGTCAAGAGAATGTCAAAACAATTGAATATTTTTGCAATAAATAGAAATTAAGGAAAAAGAAGGAAAAAAATAAAATATGATGAGTTAATAAGCAAAACCATCAAGGAACAGATGTACAGAGTCCCCCCAAAAAAACCCCACAGGAAAGATAGTACAGAAGATAGAGACAAAAAACCAGGAAGTACAAATCCAGAAGGAGGTGATGACGAAAACAATGAAATTGCAGCACAGAATTAAATGTAGCAGAATATAAATATTGTGCAGATGACAACAGATATGAATTCAAGAATACACAGGATGTAATTAAGGTTTTTCAAAATAGCCACATATTAGGACTGATTTGTAAAATTCATTAACGAAGGACGGAAAGTGGGGGGCAGCAGTTTCTAAAGAAGTTTGGGAATACAGAGCAAAATGTTCTACATATTTAATGTTCATGTGATGTTACTCTGGAGAAGTTTGATGCTGACGTGTGTTTGCAAGTATTTCATAAATCATTTCATGCATTTTGTAGAGGACAGTTAGATTTATTATGTTGTCTCAGCTTTTTAAGGTCACACTATGCCTGTGAGTGGTTTGATTATTCGCTCTATTTAGCATTGTAGCATTTATTTATAAATACTTTTTTTGGGTATTTGGACTAAAGCTCATAGTGTAATGCGTATAACTGCCTTTGAGCCAATGCAAAATCCACAACTCATACTGTAGAGGCAATGAAGAGGATACATTAGAAATAGGATTGTCAGTGATGTCCAGTTGTGAAGACCTGTACACAATTGGAAACCTCTCCCTTACCTTCACCTTTCAATCATTTAGAAAAAAGTCATACGACATAAAAAGCAGAGCCAGTGTCTCATTTATTGATTTCTATGACACGAACATTGCGATACAGACTTTACAGAAGACCCAATTTACAATTCCGTTCAGAAAAAAACAAAGCATCCATCCATCCTTTGTCTATATCCCCTTATTCTGAGGATGGTCTGAAGTCTATCCCAACCATCATTTGGGGAGAGGAGGGGTTCAGCCTGAACAGGTTGATGAAAGGCCCACACAGAGATGAACAAGACAGACAACCATGCACCCTCACTCCTATGGTCAATTTAGAAAAAGTTGAGAATTGCAATCATTTTCTTTTTTGTACGTGCAGCTTATGATCAAAGTTTAGGGTTGGAATATAGACTACGGCAAATCAAAGGCATCAGCTTTCACCTCAGATCAAATAGCCCCACAGCGATAGTGGGAATTCTGTTAAACTTATTACTTCTAATGAAGTTTATAGCGTTTCGTCAAATTATACAGAGAGAGAAGATATTTGCTTCAACAGCTTCACCACTACAAGTGATGAAATTAAGAGGCAGGGCGGAGAGGATTACACTCTCATTTTCCATACTGATATGAGCATGAAGGTGATGTGTAAAAATTCATCTTTAAATTTCTTAACGTAGATATTGCTTGACACTGTGCGCATAAAGAAAATATTGTGTCATCCATCCATCCATCCATCCATCCATCCATCCATCCATCCATCCATCCAT